TTTCTTAAAGCACGATCTTCACCACGATGACGTTTTTCCCGTTGGAACTGATTTTTATTTTATTTTAATATATTAAAGTAATGAAATGATTCTTTGTTCTTTTGTGCATCGGGCGTGTAGCTCAGTGGTAGAGCGCCTGTTTTGCATACAGGAGGCCTAGGGTTCAATCCCCTACTCGTCCATCTTTTTCACTTGCTTATTTTTTCTCATTAAAAACTGTAGGGCTCGATCGTCCTTTTCGCAAGCTGACATTTTTTTTTTTTTTTAAAAAAAAAGGTAGCCTATGCCAAACCCGCAAAGAGGCATGAAATTGCCAGCGGCTTCCTCCTGGCAACCCTCCGGAAAATGTGGGGGAGGGGGGTTGAGGCTGAGGGAGGGGAACCTTTGAACACAAAGAGGTAAAATTCCCCCACGCCCCTCTTTTTGGAAGCCGGCGGAAGAAAAGGAAACGACTACCAGAAGAGTCCGACACCGACAGCAAACGGAACTTAACCCATTTCTTCCGTTACCCTCAGGCCTTTAACGACCGGATATTCCATACGCGATTGGGAATCTGCGCTGGGGGTGTGGGTTTTTAATTTGTTTTTATCGCCAAACGTTCGGCAATAAACCTTTTTCAGAAGGTAATGCGTTAAAAATTCCCTTAAATTTGCAACTCTCTTTATAACTGGCCAACTCTTGTATTGAATGGCTGGTTATTTCTAATTTTTGTAAATTTTTTAAGCTGGGTCCAATGTTGCAAAGGGGCCGGACGGGTTTCCCATCTGGAACTGTGAAGGTGAATTTCCCCATGCGCAGCTAACAAAAACAAAAAAAAAAGATATAATGCAGATAACTCTTTTTTTTTTTTAAAAAAGGACTCTAACCACAATGCATTTGCAGATAAAGTCATTTTACTGTTTCTCCCAAAAAATGATCTTAAATTCTCAATATTTTATACCATGTTACCAAGGGGGAACCCTGAGAAAGGCAATTCTATAGCAATCCAACCCTTACTTAATGGAGTGAAAAAAAAAAAAGTCATTTGGCACCACTAGCTTCATACAGAATTTGCTTCCTCGGAATTGTGTTTCGCTATTCATCCTCTAATCTCGGGTTTTAAGGAATCCCTAAAAACAAACGGAACTTCTCTCGCATGATGTGGTCAGTTTCGCAATGGTTTAAATGTCTGGTTGGTTGAAAATTATGGTTGTGGTGTGGAGATTTTTTTTTTCTTTTTTTTTTTTGCTGCAGCGAGTTGAAATTTCATACTAGAAAAAAAATCAGATCCAAAAACCTGCTCCCCAGACATCATTAACAGAAATAATTTGAGGAGTTGCCTCTTTTGTTACTAGAAAAAGGGACCTTGGAATCTGCCAGTTTGTATGTCCTGTTGTGTGAAACTTCCGGCGGTATAGAGAATTTGATTGTATATTTTGTTTTTTTGCGTGTTATTATTATTATTATTATTTTTTTTTTTTTATAATAAGTTTGTCTTCTGAAATCATTTAGAACTTTATAGATTATTTTTGTTTTGTCTATTTATTTGTTACCATTGAACAAATTTAAAAAAAAAAACATATTCGTTTTAAATAAGGGAAAACACACAAAAAAAAACAAAAAACAAATAAGCAAATGAAAAAGATGGACGAGTAGGGGATTGAACCCTAGGCCTCCTGTATGCAAAACAGGCGCTCTACCACTGAGCTACACGCCCTATGCATAAAAAAACAAAGAATCATTTCATTACTTTAAAATAAAAATAAAAATTATTATTATTATTCTTTTCTTTGTTATTCTTTTTCTATATTTCGATATAAGGTTAATTTATTTTCATGCGACATCGAGGCTCCAGTGGCCTAATGGATAAGGCTTTGGACTTCTAATCCAAGGATTGCGGGTTCGAGTCCCGTCTGGAGTATGTTTTCCCCATATCCCCTTCCAAAAACGTTTTTTTTTTTTTTCTACCTATTTGTTCTTCTTGTGTCTCTCTATTTTTTAATGAGAGAAAAAAATTATCTATATATTTATGTATGTATTCTCTTCATGCAGAGCCTTCCTAGCTCAGCGGTAGAGCGCACGGCTTTTAACCGTGTGGTCGTGGGTTCGATCCCCACGGATGGCGTTTTTCATATACTCTTTTTATTTTTCTTATACTTTTTTGTTTTTTAAAAAATTATTTATTAAAATTCCCAATAAGCCTCCGTGGCCTAATGGATATGGCACTCGCTTCCTAAGCGAGGGGTTGCGGGTTCGAGTCCCGCCGGGGGTATATTGTTTTCTCCAGGAAAACTTTCTCAGGTTAGAAAAATCTTTTTTTTTTTGTTGATTATTTGGGGGCGGTGGGTTTCCTTTTTCTTTTTTTTTTTTTTTATGTGTGTTTTTGTTTTGTTTCCCCTCTCCTATCTGCCCTAAAATGCCCAGAAAGAGAAAAAATTAAGAGTGTTTCTCTTTTCTTTTCGCCGTTCCGAAGGGGGAGGGGTGGCGGGGGCCCGGCGCCCCTTTGGCGGACTCCCCCTCCCTCTTCCTCCCGCCCCGAAAAGGGGTCGGCGATTTGGGGCCTCCTTCCCTCCCCCCCACCCCCGCGTGCGGACGGCGCGGCCTTCCCTTCGGCAACCCCGCGGGGAAACTAAAAGAACAAGAAAAGAAAAAAAAAAAAGAGGAGAAAGGAAGAGCAAACAAAGTGTTACGTGATTTCTTCCCGGCGGCGTTGGCAAACGCGAAAGGAAAACAAAAACGGAAAGGGGTCCGCGGCGCCAGCACAATATTATTTTAAACGCCTGCCCCCCCCCCTCCCCCGGCTGGGAAAATACAAAAATATGATAAGAAGTAGCAAAATAATAATAATAATAATAAAAAGAAAACAATGTTAGATAACTATATATATTATATATTTTCCTTCCTCACTAATTCAACGCAATGAGGTAAAGTAATTTAGTAACACCCTTAATTGTTCCGAACGCTCCGGATCATGCGTATAATACTGAAGGTCGTTTAGAAGCCTAGAAATAACATCATCCAAAGACTCATTACTATAACCCCAGTTGCCGTAACGCTGGCGAAGTTCAGGATCATTCACGTTAGGAAAATCCAATTGATTTACTATTTCTTCTTCTTCTAAACCGTATGGGGTATTTTCTCGACTTGTTGTTGAATTTTTCGTTACTACACTATCAACTGGATTTGAATGCTCTATAAGAATTTCATCATTATTTAAATGACTTTCTTCTTCTTCACAAAATAATAAATCTCCTCCTTCCTCACTCCATTCGTCTTTTTCTGTTCCTTCTTCTTCCATTAAAGGTGAAGATTGTTCCAAAGCACGCATAACAAGATGTAAAACAATTTGCTTATTTTCAACCACTAAAGTTCCTGCTTGTGTGGGTCGATAAATCCTTGCAGGATGTTGTTTAACATTTTCACCATAAAAAACATTACAATCACGAAAAAGTTGATGCCGACACAAATCTTCACAAGAAGGACGTTGCTCGGGAAAAAAAGCTAAACAACGAGAAATTAAATCCATCCATTTTATTTGTCGATCACGAGTTGTACGTAACCTCCAATTATTTTCCATAATTTCTACAAGTCTTGAAGGTCGTGAAACACTTCTTAAAAGATACAATTGAGCATTACCAACTGGCATAAAACGTCTAACCTCTTCATGACTAGGAGTTCCTACTATATTGAGAATTACTTCAAGTTGTGTACTTGCACGTTGACCTTCCCATACACCATGTTCATTAAGAGCAGAATTTACTGTAAAGAGTGCACGACCAGTTACCATTTCAAAAAAGATACAACCTAATGACCATACATCTATTGATGTTTCTCCTTTTGATACATTAGTAATAATTTCAGGCGGTCTATAATAACGTGTACAAACATAAAAAGTATCACTAGCTTCAGCATCACGCGCAAGTCCAAGATCTGCAATAAGTGCTGTTGATTCATATGGATTAGTTCCATGTAAACGAACAAGAACATTTTCTGGTTTCATATCTCGATGAACAATATTACACTTATGCAAATAATCCAATCCAAAGCAAATTTGAAAAGCAAAAACAACAGCAACTTGCTCAATAAATTCTTCTGTCATGGATAGTTTCGGACTTGAAGAAGACGCATGCTTAATAAAATAAAGCAAATCGCCTTTCATCAGAGGCATCACAATATGAAGATTAAATTCATCTGTTCCTTTTATTTTCCCCACTTCTGCTTCAAGTTCATGATGATGTTTAATAAGTTTTCCACCAAAATCCAAATTAATATACTCTGAACCCTCTACATCTAAGTTACTAGAAACTTCTTCTGGTGATATTGAACCATTATAATGTGTATCATCATCTCCTCCAGATCGTCCATCCACGCTGACACATGGGGTTACAAACATACTAAAATAACCAATTACATGGGGATGGGCATCATGCAAAAAAGTCATAGTATCAATTTCACGCACAAGGCGTTTACTCTCCTGATTTACAAAGCGAGCTGGAATCGTTTTGATGGCAACATGCTCATTTGTTAAAAGGTCTTGATATTCTTCTACAATTCCAAACCCTCCCTTGCCAACGACTCCAATCAATTTATAACGACCGACAAGCCGTGAGGTGGACATTGGTTTCGTGAGGAGGCAAGAAAATAATGGATTCTTTATGCTTCCCCTTTAATAATAATAATAATAATAATAATAATAATAATAATAATATAAGAGAAAACAAAAAAGAAAAAAGAAAAGCAATTAACAATAAAAACACTTTTTATGTATAATTATTAGCAATAAATAAAACATAGACACAACAGAGAAAACAAAAAAAAAAATCATTCTTTATGAGGTTTTTCTTACAGCTTATCTTAGAGAATTTAAGGTCATACCCATCTCCTTTATTTAAACAATAGCAAACGACAGCGTTAGGCCATTGCTATTATAAATAAATTCTTAAAAAAAAAAAAAAAAAAAAAACGCACACACACACACACAACAAGAACAAGAAGAACAAATTATTACTCGCCTTTAGCTACCTTTTCCTTTTTTTTATCCTTTTTTTTCTTTTTCCTATCAAAAGCATCAAATGCCATGTCTACATCCATCGCTTGTTTCTTCTTTAGTTCTGCTTCTTCTTCTCGCTTCACCTCTTCCAAGCTTTTCTCACCAACTTGTCGTGCAAGTCGATTATTCAGTAACTTTTCTTCCATAGCCTGCTTCCGTTCTCGCAACATCTCCATTTCATCCTGCTCAAAGATCTTTCGAACTTTACTCTTATAATCTTCAAGTGTTCCATTAAATGGAGTAACTGTGCGATTTCCAGCTTCCCAAATCTGCATATTTGTTTCTTCAATTAGACGGGCATCATGTGTAACAACCAAAACGCCACCCTTAAATTTTTTAATAGCTGAACAAAGTGCCTCAATAGATTCCACATCCAGATGATTTGTTGGTTCATCAAAAAGAAGAAAGTGAGGTTTTTCTGTACTAATAGCTGCAAACGCTACACGTGCCTTCTGTCCTCCACTGAGTGTGGCAATCTGATTTTTATGTACAATACCTTCCAAACCAAAACTTCCCAACTGACGACGAGCCTTATCCTCTTCATGTATACCAAGAGACTGAATGTATTCCACTGGAGTTTTTTCCAAAGGAAGTTTATCCACAAAATGTTGATTGTAGCGACCAACACGAACCTTTCGATTCATAGTTACCATACCACCAGTGGGTTCCAGTTCACCTGTCATCAAGTTAAGTAGCGTACTTTTACCAATACCATTAGGGCCACATAATGTAATACGACTATCTGTCCAAAGAGCGCAATTAACATTTTCAAAAAGTACTGGACCTCCTGGATAATTGAAGGAAACTTCTTCTAGTTTTACAATACAAGCATCTGGAAGCTCAGGAGGTTCAGCAAAGGGAAAATTAACAATATAATCACGACGTTTCTCAAGATACAATGGATCTAGTCGACCCGTACGGATTTGATCTTTAATCCAAGTTTCTACCTGTGCGTTTGACATACCATTGCGTTTCTTGTCCTTTATAGTTTTGGTAACAGCAGCATACTTCTTATCAAGCTCTTGATGACGTTGTTGCAACTGTTCATCAAAACCACTAAACCCACCACGGTAGTAATTAAGAAGGTAATTTTCCACATGAACCATGTGTGTGCAGACCTCGTCAAGGAAACCAGCATCATGTGAGACAACTATTAATGTCTTTGGTCGACGTGCCGTCTCGCGGTAATGTTCGCAAAGATAAGACTCTAACCAAATAACAGCATTTAAATCCAAGTGGTTAGTAGGCTCATCCAACATGAGTACATCCGGTTCAATAAAAACCGCGGACGCCAAAGCAATACGTTTACGCCATCCACCACTGAAACTTTTGGTCGGCCGCTCATGCCATTCTGTAGGGAATCCAAGACCGAATAAAATCGTTCGAGCACGAGCTTCCGCCCGTGAGGCACCCATTACATCCAATTCTTCCTCTAAAAATTGGAGTCGAAGCATCTCCTCTTCACTTAACTCTAGCTTTTCGCGCAGACTGGCAGCTTCCATCATATATTCTTTCTGCTTTTTATGGCTATCCATTACAGCCTGAACTGCACTTACATCAGACGCATGAAACTCCTGCTCTTGCTCTACCAAAAGGAGATCAAGATTAGATTGTACAGGCAACTCCCGTGAACTTAACAAACGAAGGATGGTTGATTTACCTCGACCATTGGGACCCATAAGACCATAACGTGAACCAGCTGATAGTTTGACATCTGTATCATTGAAAAGTATTTTACCATTCACTGAAACTGAAACTTTCTTTAAAGAAATGTTCCGAGAACCCTCAGGAATCTGATCATGCTCCCAAGAGACAGAAAATGGGTTATCACCTTCCTTATTTACGTTGTTTGCCCGTTCACCAAGAAGACGTAGTTCCTCATGCTGCTTCTCCAATTTTTCCTGCTTTTTTCGTTCCTTACGGCTAAGTCCCTTTTCACGATGCAACTCGTCCTGGCAAACCTCCGTATCACTCATTTCCAACTACACAAGAGAAAAAAAAAGAAACAACAACAACTAAAAAAAAAAAAAAAAAA